AACAGAGGTTCTCAAATAAGACTGGAATGGACAATTCTGCAGAGATGCTGTGAAATTGATTACGGGATGTTGTGCATGAAGTTCAGTAGGTCTGGATGGGACCCAAGGATTCGTGAGGCTTGGGGCTAATACTGCAGGTGACAACCTCCCCTGTAAGTGAGCCAGCGCTGGCCACTGAGGGAGCTCTGTGCTGGCTGCTCGGGGAGCTCTGCTGGCCCAGAGGCTGCACTTTGCTGGCAGTTTGAGTCCAGCGGCTGCTCCACAGGAAAGACATGGGCAGTCACGTCCTGCTCAGGGTACAGCCTCAAACCTGATGGAGGGTCCCTGTGAGTTGGAACTGACTGGACAGCAGGGAGTGGGCCCTCAGGGTTGGACCCCTGCTGGTGTCCTGATGGGCTGCTAACTGAAAGGTTGGCAGTTTGAACCCATCGGGCTCTCCTTGAGAGGGAGGTAAGACACTCTTCTGCAGTTAAGATTTAGGTGGCCTTGGAAATCGGATGGAGGGTTGCCTTGAGTCCATGTGATGGCAGTGACTGGATTTGGTTTCAGAGGGAAAAAAAGCTGAGATGTGACTGAGAACAAATTGCTTGCAATCCTAGATGCAAATTGGATGAAGGTTGGTTACTAATAAAAGCACCATGGCATTTTAAAGGTGGTAGCCAAAGGTGGGTGATTTTAATCTGCATCCCTCAGGCCTGGTTTTAATTGTTTTTTGGTCAAACATTCTTCTAGGTGATATAACACTGGTCTGTCTATCTGCTGTACAGAGGTAACTCATGGTTGCTCTGAAGCTGAACACTGTGACACTGATGTGTCAAATGTGAGAATGGCTACCCATGGTGGACAGTGTCTGATGGAGCTCCTGATTAAAAGAAGCTTTAAAGCAGGAGTGACATCCACTTATGAAATGCCTTGCCTCCGGAAACTATGAACTTGGAGAAACAATGAAAGATATACAAGTGTTCATGTCTTTGGTTCATAGGGTTGCTATGAGTCGCGTATGACTTGACAGCACTTAACAACACAACATCCTAGGGGAGGTCATTGCTTCCTTGATAACTGGGCTCTCAGCTATGTTGGCAGTGGTCCTGGTGGTGCAGTGCCTAAAGTATCAGGCTGCCAACCAAATGATTGGTAGTTCAAATCCACCAGCTGCTGGGATGGCAGGCTCCTCCCGTAAATGTTTACACTTTAGGAAAGCAGATGGAGGGGACCCTGGATTGTGAGAAGGGCTCAGGGGACAGCAGGGCTAGGATGTGTTGTTTATAGGGTCCACGTGAGACGCGGCAGTTTTGAGGACACCGAACATAGCATGACTCACCCAAGGGCAGGGGCTTAGTTTAGAAGGTCAGCACAGGTCCCTACTAGGAAGCCACATGTATGTACAAATCCCAGAACCATCCTGTTGTCCTGAATGACAGGAGAAAAAGGTTTTGCACGATACTCTCCACGCATTGGATCAAGTGCAGTTTTCTCTGAATAGCAGTTCCTCAGACCGCTATTGGCCCCTTTCCCTATTAGGATTCCTTAAGGACTAGGGGAAGTCAAAGGCCCCCTTAGGGCTTGGGCATCCTCTGGGACTCAAGGTCAACACTGCATTCCTGGGAGGTTTTAGGAAGACCCAGGCGGTACTGTGGATTTAGTGTTGCGCTCCTAACTGAGGGGTCAGCAGTTTAAACTCAGGAGCTGCTTTGCAGGAGAAAGACTGACGTCTGCTGCTCCCGTAAATGTTTACCGTCTTGGAAACAATACAAGGAGCATTCTTATATCCTACATAGTCACCGTGTGTATCAGAGCAGACTCAATGATAGTGGGTTTGGGGAAGAGTTTTGAGGACTGTGTGAAATAGTGCTGTGTCTATCATGTGGCAGGCCTGCCGTGTTGGGGTGTGCGTGTTTTGCTTGACATTCATCCCTGTTTCCATAAATTCCCCACCCCTAGCTTTGGGCATCAGATGAGCAGAGTCTAGAGATGCAGAAAGAGTGGCCGGCGAGGGCTCTGTCCATTCGCTGGTTCTGCATTTCTTTGCAGACTGAACCAGACAGAGGAGGTGAAGACAGGAGGAGTGGGGAGCGCTGCTGTTTAATGCGATCATGGTGGAGAGGCCCAGAGCCACATCGCTTACTGGCCGCCTGGCCCCATCCAGCTCTTACTGGAAATGCCTTAGAGTTGAGACTGAGTGGGAGAATCTGGCCTCGGCCGGCTCCGCTGCACTGGCTGAGCCAGGACGTGCCTCGATGGCCTTCCTGCTGGGAAAACGGGTCTCAGCATGTTCTGGGAACCTGTCCTTTCCAGGCCCCTCACGGCGAAGTTCCACGCTGGAGAATTTATCAAAGCTGATGGCTAGAATGGCCTGCATTTTTGTGGTGTGTTCTGCATCAGAACCACTTCCACAGATGACCAGAGTCGGAGTGCAGAAGGAAGGAGCTGGCCAAGCGAGACCAGGAACTGGAGTTCAGCTCCAGACCTCAGCATTCATGGGGGGCTGTCCCTGAATATTCTTGGGGTCAAAAGAAGATGGACTTAGAAGAACACAGAGAACCACTCCTGGTCATTCAGCACAGACCTCGTGTTCGTCTTCCCCTGCACTCCCTGCTCTCTTTCTCTCCTCCCTCCCCCGCTGCTCCCTCTTGATAACCTGCTGAATGTCAAGTGCATCAAAAGTCCTGCTCTGTGTCCTGTTCTGTCAAGAGTCCTGTTGAGAACTTGTCTCATTTCCGTTGCACAGAATGGTAAACTGAGGCCTTGAGAAGTGGAGAGGTTTATCATAAACACACCCTTAGAATGTTCTAGGACTAAGTCAACAACTCAACTCTTTACTACCAGTCTGAACTGACTCAAAACTGCTAACCTTTTGGTGGTGGTTGTGTGCGCCGTCGAGTTGGAACTGACCCACAGGTGATCCCCCAGCAGGTTTTCAGAGGCAGTAAATCACATGAGAGGATGTTGTCCATCCACCTCCAGCTGATCCCCCAGTGGTTTTCAGAGGCAGTAAATCACATGAGAGGAGGTTGTCCGTCTACCTCCTGCAGAGCAGCTGGTGGACTCAAACTGTGAGCCTTTGGGATTGCAGCACACCTTCTTACCACTAGGCCACCAGTTAGGACCCAGTATTTAATCAACTGTGGCATCAGTTTCTTTTACAGCACGTAGTACGTGGTCAGTAAGTCAGTTTGCTTCCCTTCTCCCACACTCCTGGTGTTCAGAAGGCTGTCATTCTGGGGAAGGTGGAGGGTCGTAGGAGGAGGGGAAAGCCCTCTGAGAGACGACTGACACGGCAACTGGACCGTTGAAGCACAGGTGAGATTGTGAGGATGACACAAAGCAGGTGATGTTTTTGTTCTGGTGTGAACTTGGCCCCAGTGAGTTGCAGCCAATTTGAGGGCTCCGAACAACAACAGGGAGATTTGACTCGCTCTCAGACTCTCTCTTGATTTGTATCTCGTCCCAGACTCGGGATATGACTTCGGCTTTGCCTTCCTGCTCGTGGCTGTAGGGTCTCTTGGCTTGGGAAGTTAGCAATTGTTGACGTTTTGATTTTGTCCCCATGTGACAAAAATGACCAAGCACTCAACTCCTAATCAAAGTGTTAGCAGTTCAAACACACCCAGAGGTGTCTTAGAGGACACAGCTGTGAAAAATCCTTTGCAAAAGAATTATGCCCTGGCATGTGACGTTATCATGGTCAGTCAACAGCTACTCCCAAGTTGGTTTCAGTGTGTGCCTAGTTAAAACACCCACATCCTCTGTCATGCTGGGCAGGAAATGTTTTTGCCTGCGGTACCACAACCACCTTTGCTCTTCCGAGATGATACAGAATAAAAATCGGAGAGTCATTTATACTTCATATGAATCATTATAAATGGCGTCTACCACTGAAGAGACTGAGCTTGTTCTCAGCTTCAGTTTGCTTGACTCAACCATCAACACTCTTGGTACCAGCAGCCAGGAAATCAAAAGATGAACTGCACTGGGAAAGTCTGCTGTCAGGGATCTCTCCAGAGTGCCGAAGAGCAATGATGCCAGTCTGAAGACCAAGATGCGCCCGATCTAGGCCGTAATCTTCACAATTACATACTCTGCATCAGAAAGCTGGACAGTGACTAGAGATGATAAAAGGAGAATGATGCCTTTGAGCTGTGGTGCTGGAGAAGAGTGTTAAGTATACCATAGACTGCTAGGAGAACACACAGGTTCGCCGCGGAGAGGGTGAAGCCCAGCTGCTCCTTGGAAGCAAGGATTCTGAAACTTCATCTGAATACTTTGGACATGTTGCAAGGAGGGACCAGTCCTTGGAGAGGGATGTCCTGCTTGGGAGGGTGGAAGGACAGCACAAGAGAGGAAGACCCTGGATAAGATGGATTGACTCAGTGACTGGGGTAATGAGGGTAGGTGTGTCAGAGACAATGAGGTTGATTCGGGATGGAGCAGGGTTCAGAGATGTTGTACACAGGGTTGCTATGAGTCACAGGTGACTTGATGGCACATAACAACAACTGCATCATCAAGATTTCTAGAACGTTTTCTTTGTATCTTATTTAATCTTATCATCATCAATCTGAGTTATATGCTGTTGTACGATTTTGTGTCACAGATGGGGAACCTGAGCATGAGTGAAGTTAGGGGACTCATTCAAGGTCACATAGAGCAGAGATTCCTGCACTTTTGGCCAAGAGGCCTATGATTGTATCAGGGGTGCTGGCAGTTGGCCAACCTGACTTTGGAGTCAGGATCTCGGGCCTGAGGCCAGCATTTCTGTGTGTGAGCTGTGTGATGTTAAGCAAGTCATTTAACCTCTCTGTGTCTGTTCCTGTAAGGGGAGCCCCAGAGTGGTGCTGTCAAGTCACACACATGGGCTTCCCATTGGTTGGAAGCACCTGTGCATCAGAGTGCCGTGTGCTTTCACAGGGTGGAAGCCCTGTTCCCCGCCTTTGCCTCATGCCTTTCAAAGCTGCTCATCTCTCTCTGTCTTGTCTTGCAGGTAATGAACCAAAAGGATCATGTCTGAAGTACAAGGAACGGTTGAGTTTTCTGTGGAGCTACATAAATTTTATAATGTGGACCTTTTTCAGAGAGGGTAAGTGTGTTTGAATATACCTATACCTATTGGCTAACTGGCGGGATGGCTGGCATCTCGATGGCGGTTCGACTCGGTGGCAGTCAGGCAAGGGACATGTCTGGGGTCCTTTCCACTGTGTTATTGTTCTTTTTGCTCTTCAAAAGTGAGTGGGTGGCCCAGAGCCTTAGACTAAGGGTAAGTAACCCTTAATCTAATGTGATAGTGCTTACCCATGGTGGACAGTGCTTGATGGAGCTCCCCAATTAAAGCAAGTTAGGAAGCAGGAGTGGCATCCAATTCTGAAATAGCTTGCCTCTGGAAACCCTATGAACTTGGAAAAAGGATGAAAGGTATACAAGTGTTCAGGTCTTTTGTTCACAGGGTCGTTATGAATCACCTACGACTCAACGGCACTTAACAACAACAACAAGATGTATACCTATCTATGTATCAGTCTTGTTTTTTTTTCTGGCAAGCAAAGGGTGATGGTATTGAGGGATGGTTATAAGGAATTCGGGCTTAATGAAGAAAGATTTTAATTCTTTCCCTGCCAAACACAAAGGTGTAATCCTTGGTGCATCAGACGATGAGCTGTTTATTGATGGAGACCAGGCAGTGCTAATGTTTCTCCTCCCTCCTGCATCTCCCTCTGCCTTCTCTCTTGTCTGTTGCTGAGCCCATCAAAAATGCCTGGCTTAAAGGAAAGTAAATATATTGAACATGAAGCTGACCTGTGCAGCGCTGACAAAATACTGTTTCAACCCTCATTCCTAAAGGAACCACCTCCCAACACTCACGTGTGGTAACACCATCGCTTAGCTCTCTCACAAACAGGATGCGGTGTTTACAAACATACTCAGTAAAGATGCAGGTAATAGTACTGACTTTTACTAAAAGTGAGATGGGCTTTGACTTTCAACTTTTATACTTATGGTCCTCATCGGGTCTTCCTGCTAGCCGTGGTCCTCAGGGTCACTTCACAGATGAAAGATAAAATGAGTATATCAAGCATCTAAATCGTAACTGGAAATATTGCCACTTGTTACAGCTGCTGCTTTCCCCATGTCACAGGTGAGGCCTCTAGGAGTTTATAGGAACTAAATTTATGATGTGCCTGAGTTTACAGAGCAAACAAGCTTCTGGAACAAGGGTTATCTATCTAAGTTAGCTTTTGCTGTGTAACAGGATTCTGACGAACTCTGAGGGCCTTAAAGCCACGGTGGACCCCTCAGCTGGAGATTCTGAGGTTAAGCAGTTTCGGCTGTGCCCAGGAGGTGGTTCTGCTGGTCAGGCCGGGTGGTCCTGATCTCCGCAGGCCTCACTCACAGAAGTCACATGAAATCATGTGGAGACTGGACAGCACCTCATAAGGTTACTTAGATTCAATGTTAAATAGGATGAAACCTTGAACTTAGCAAGAAAACCATTTCTTGAATACATTTGTATATGGTTCTATACCTATCTGAATACTGAGTCTTGAGATATTGACGATTATTTGTATGAAATGAGCACCATTAGCAAGGAATTTTAAACGACACATCCAAATCACAGCAGCTAGCATTTGGTACACAGGGTTGAAAAAATGAATATCGAAATAATCTATTCAGCAAAAAGATATAAAAAATAATATAAATAAATATTAAAAAATTATTGGGCAAACCTATGATCTTTCTTCTTTCTCAATTTGTGTGTTTTAAGAGGCATAGCCTTCATTGATGTCTACTACTAAACCTGACTAATAAATGAGAATCAGACAAGGATCCCCGCTGGTGGTGTCTCAGTGGCTAAAGTGCTCGCTCACCTGCTACCTAGAAGGTTGACAGTTCAAACTCCACCTGCTGCTTGTGGGGAGGAAGCTGCAGCAGTCTTCCTCCTTAGTTATTACAATCTTGAGAGTCTATGGGAAGTTGTCCCCTGTCCTGTAGGGTAATTGCAAGCCAGAATGGGCTGGAAAAGAACCAGGAAGAACCAGCAGTGTGAAGAACCAGGATGCGAGTCACTGTGGTAGACATGTATCAGTGTGAATAAAAACAGGTCAGCGTATACAAAATAACCTAAGAACTTGCTCCTCTTTTAAAATGCCTTTTTCTAAATCACTGCATATGAGTAGACATATGTATGGATATCATTTATAAATAAATTTATATGTTTTGAGATTGCATTATCAGAGGTGGTTCTGCACGCCATTCACAGATCTTCCCTGGGTGAACAGGAGGGCTGTTCCAGCCTCTCTTCGTTTCTCGTGCTCAGCCTTCATGGCTTTGAGGCACGTGAGCATTCAGGCACATGCTTCTGAAATGGGTGGGTGCAGGATCCTATGATTTATACGTCCAGCAGCTGCTTCTGCAGACAGGCCAAGCCATGGTCAGAGTGAAGACCCACAGGCCTCTCATGGGAAGGAGGGAGGAGGTGTCTATCTCTGAGAACCCATCAGCAATAAGACTTTAAAGTTAATGGTTCCCAGTCCCCCTCGGGCCTGCCTTCAGGGAGCTGCAGGCAGCCGGGCATGATGCCAGCAGACTTAGCGGTTTTGCCTATATCAGGAAGAGTTTCTGATAAACCTGTTCTCCAGTGTTGAGGCTAAGGTTCCAACTTTCTGAGCCCCACAGGAGCCATCCTTACAGTGGAATGTAATTGCTTTACCCTGAGTGCACCCTGGGCGAAGGAGTGGCTGTGAGCCAAGCCTGGTGGACTAGGTAACTTGTTTAAAAAGGAGCTATTGTCATATTATTTAAGAAAAGGAAATGGGCTACAAATGGGAGTCACACGGAGGTGCCTCAGAAGGAAAAGTTAGGTGTCTCCTGTAACAAGAGCACAATTAAGTGTAATTAAGATCCATTTGCAAAAAAATTAGTTCTTTGATTTTTTTTTTTAATAAATGTTGGGATCACCATGACTCTGGATTCACTCCTGGGGAGCAGTACTGGTACTGGTTATCCCGGTGTGAGATGCATTAAATGTGCGTTCTGCAGGGTTAAGGGTTGCGAGAGAGGGGAACAACCTTCTCTGTGACTGGGGTCATGCACGTTCCCTCTGATGTCTGAGGAATGCCTCTCCTGTCTCGACTCAGAAAACCCCTGCTCCTTGGTCCCAGACTGGTCAGATGATCACCACCTCTTCTTAATTCATGTGACAAGTTGGGTTGGAAGCGCATTTGGTGAGGGCGACTTATCCCCAGCACATTTATTTTTACGGAAGACGTTTCCAGTCCCATAATGACACTTCCCTGGTTGATGTTTGCTTTGAGCAGTCAACTTGCATTTATCCAAAGTCTGTCTTGATGGAGGCAGAGGCTCAGAGCACAAGCCATCAGCAGGGACCCTGAGATGCCACCCCCACTTTGGAAGGGAGATGGAAGCTGACGGAAAGATGAGCAGGGAGGTTCTGGAGAGCCCCTGGCTTTGGACTAAGGTCTGAGTTTGCAGCCAGGCTCTGTCACTTATGAGTTCTGGGGGTCTAGGCACATTGCTTCTGACTACTCTGAGTCGCAACATCCCCACCTGAAAATGGTCAGGATGAAGCCTATCTCCCCAAATAACCAGTTGGATGGGTAATAGTATCATTTATTCTGGGCAGTTAGCACGGTGCCTGCCATCTAGAAGGTTCGGTCTAAGATATGGCTACCAGTTGCTCTGGAGTGAGTTGAGGCTCATGGTGACCCAACTATGCCGGAGCAGAACTGTGCCTCTTGGGGCTTTCCCTGTCTGACTATGAAAGGAGAGGACAGCCCCTTGCCCTAGCCCATCTAGTCAGCTCTCTGAAAACATGTTCAGCTTCCAGGCCACATGCAAGTTACCATTGACAGATGGATGTTGTCTGTGTGTGAGCTGCCTTGGCTGGGGATCAAACCCATGCCTTTTACATGCAAGGTCAGAATCTTACCATTGATCCACCAAATGGCAGGACAAGCCCATTTGAGTCCAATCTCTACAATAGTCCAAGGTTGCTCAAATTTCTCAAAGCAGGTGAGCACTTATCATTCACTATCACTATCAACAGTCAGAATCACACTTTACTCCCTGTCTGACTGCTGGTTAGGGAGCTCTGATGGCCCAGTCGACAAGGAGCTGCACTGCCAATGCAGAGACACGTGGTCTGAACCCACCAACATTTAGGAGAAAGATGGACAATCTCATTCTGAGTGGTTTCAGTCTCTATCTGCTGGAGGGTCAGCTATGGATTGATTCTAATTTGACAGCAATGAGATACTGAAACACCTCAAGCCTTCAGGCTGACCTGGCTCGTCTATTATGTTAGAACATATTCTTGGTCTTCCTTCCCCCAAAATCTGCTTCAACAGGTCTACCTATGTGCAAACTGGAGCTCGAATATAACCTCTTCCCTAAGCTATTTCTACAGATCAGTATTTACATACTGCACCCAGTGTCATTTTCATGAATCAACACTTTTCTATATTCTTAAAGACTATATACATTAACATTAGGTTTTTGCCAGCCTTTTTAACGGGAGTGAGATCTAGATTTCTCTTCCCATAACTTGGCATTGGGACTTCTTCTCTTCCCCATTGACTTATTTAAACATCCTTTCTGTCCCAGAATGTACAGGGTCCTGTGGTGGGTCCTAGCATGGGTATTGGGGCTGAGAGCAGAGCACAGCTTCTTATTCCATGAATAGACATTTTCTCATGAAGAAATCCATTTTAAGTAAATGTTGTTGTTATTGTTACATGCCTTCGAGTTGCTTGCAACTCATAGCGACCCTATGTACAACAGCCCTAAACCCTGCTCTATCCTGTGCCAATCGCACTATCTCCGACACATCCATCCTGATTACCCCAGTCACTGAATCAATCCATCTCCTAGAGGGCCTTCCCCTCCTGCGCTGTCCCTCCACCCTCCCAAGCATCATGTCCCTCTCCAATGACTTGTCCCTCCTTACAACATGTCCAAAGTATGTCAGACGAAGCCTCAGAATTCTTACCTCCAAGGAGCAGCGTGGTTTAACCCACTGTGGTATGAACCTGTTTGTTTTCTTAGCAGTCAATGGTACATTCAATA